CCCAGAAAAGGTTATGTTGAAGTCTTAACACCCAGTTCTACAGAATGTGATCTTTTTGGAAACTGGAGATTTTAGTAAGGTGATCTCCTTAAACCAATAAGAGGCGTCTTTATAAAAAGGGAAAACAGGACCAGGAACATGGTTCTGGGGGTAAAGGCACTTGCTGCACGAACCTGACAACCTGAGTTTGACTCCCTAGACCTACATAAAAAGGAAGGACAACTTCACAAAGTTGTTCTCTGACCTTTACATGTGCACAAACATACATACACTAAACAAGTGACATTTTAAAAAGGGAAAGCATTATTGAAAATAAATGACTAGGACAAGTCTGGGCATGATGACATCCCCAGCTGAGTCTGTCTGGTAACAAGGCCTGAGCGACCTTCTGGAAGCCTCCGGTGCTAGGAAACCAGCCAAACTTGAGGTGTCAGACTCAAAGCTTGCCTCTTCCATGTATCCATGAGTGTGAGCACACACTGGGGGGGGGGGCTCATACCTTTCTCAGTCACGCAAGTCACTTATGTGACTATGAAAGGTATGGGGTCCCTTCCTCAGCAGCAGGCAGGCCTTCAGTGGGTACCAGCAGGGGTTCTTCTCATCCAACTTAGTTCTGACACTGCAAGGAGACTGAGGAAGGCCGCACGGGTTAAGGGCTTGTCCCAAAGACTACCACCTCCCCTAAGATTGCACGTCTGTGTTGGTGAGCTTGTGCTTCTGATAATTCTGAAGCTTGGTGAATCAGCTTCGAAAACCATTTACTAACCTTTTCTAGTTTTTCTGTTTGCTTCTGTGGTGCTGAGGATGGAACCCCAGTGCTCTACCACAGAGCTCTCCATCCTCTTCCAGCCCTTGAAGGGTTCTGTAAAGGACACAGACAAAGAGACAGATGCTCGGAGTGAGGCCTGGGAAAAGAAGGGGCATGAAGTTATGAAGCTAGGAAGCTTCCTAGCCCTCGGGGTGCCAGCATCCACCCAGGTGTTCCTGTGCTTGGCTGAACAGAAGCTCCATGAAATAACCCTTTCCTTTTTCTTTTAACTGAGATAGTGCCTAAGGTGGCCCAAGTTGTCCTAGAACTAGCCACATAGGATGACCTTGAACTCCTAATCTTCCTGCTTCCACCTCCTGAATATTGTGATTATAGTCATTACTACTACTCAGGGTTTATGTAATGCAAAAGTCGAACCCAGGGTTTTGTGAATGCTAGGCAAGTGCTCTACCAACTGAGCCATCTCCCGCAACCCCTTACTTACATGGAATTTATATGAAGGCTTCATTGCAGGGCCTTGATTGAAGCCTGAATGACCCCGTGTAGAAAGTATGGCCCATCAAACAGGCTGACTGAGAGGGTCCCAGTGAGGCTTTGACTCACATCTTCCTGGACAACCCCCATCCCCTCTCCAACAAGAATCCTTTACAAACACAAGATCAGATGAGGTAATGCAGTGAGTTTTTGATGCACAGCTCCCAGAGAGAGGTCGGGGAGGTCAGAGTTTTCATGGCCTGCCTTGGGAAGGGACTTTGAAGCAGGAGAGAAAGCAACACGTGTATGACAAGATATCACAGAGACTATAGATGTGGTGCAGTGCAGAGTGGATGTGAGGGAAGGAGACATTCTAGCTTTTATTTCAGGTGTGGGACTTTCAGCTTGAAGATGAAGTCTTTCACTGTGGGCTCCCACAGTCACTGTCACAGACTGATGTGGGAAGGAGACCTAGGTGTTCTTTTGTTGTCACTGCCTGTTGAGACAGAACCTTTTTTATAGCCCAGGGTGGCCTGTAGCTCACTATGGAGTCCACGTTGGCCTTGAACTTGTGAACCCTCTGCTTCCATTTCCAGATGCTGGGATTTCAGATATGTGCCATCACACCTGGCTCTCTTTAACTCCTAACATTACAGGTTAATGTGGTCCAGAAATTTTGGATGAGTGTAGCCTACTCATTCTGATCTGAATCACGATTCTGAGAGCCTACTTGTACCCTACCAGGAACCCCCCATGGGTTTACCATATAGAACTCTCTAGAAGGTGCTTGTGAGGGTGGAACATCAGTTACTGCATCAGGCTGCTGCCAGCTGATGTGCGGTGATCTGAACTTGTTTGGGGTGGTTGAGGCTGCTGTGGGAGGGAAACTTGGCCAGACAGTGGGTGAAAGCTGGGGGCAGGGGAATGTCCCCATCACCCCAGAGAAGAACTCTTAGCTGTGCCCTCTTTGGGGCTCACATACCCCTCCTGTTTCTGTTTCAGGCCCCTTGGTGCCTCACATCCCATCTGGCACCGGAGCTTTGCCTGTGGGCTCAACCTGCTGATACCTGGGGCTTGTAAAAACAAACATTTTCAAGCTTCAGATAAATGATTTGATTTTATACTTAATCGTATTGTAAACATTCAACTTCAAGGCCTCCAGGTACAGCTTTTAGAAAACTTTCTACTTCTAGATCTGTCTCAAATAACCAGGAACAGCCCTCCCCCCACAACCTCCTTGGCACACACAGCTTTGGGCCTGTGAGAACAAAAGCAGCCAGGCCTGACCTAAAACAGCTGCCGGGAGAAGCCACTGGATCAGAGGTAGCATGTGGGGCGCCACCATGAACCTAGGTCTGTGAGTGCATTTGACAGACATGCGAATAAGAGCTTAATCTAAAGTCCCATGTGTAGCAAATGTCAGGGCAGGCAAGTATTTACAATGAAAATAAGAAGAGACACGAAGAGGCTAAGGGGTGTCACTCAGCTGGGAGAGTGTGTTCCTAGCACACATGAGTTTCATCCTCAGGACCCCAAAAACCAGGAGTAATGACAAACACCTGTCATCCCAGCACTAGGGACACAGGAGGAGGATCAGAAGTTCAAAGCCATTCTCCCTTACATCCAAAGTTCAAGTCTGACTTGAATGCTGTGGGGACCTGTCTCAAAAACAAAACAAAAAGTAACAGCAAAAGGCCTGAGCATGACTCTTGCATCCAGTTCTCAACATGCCTTTCCTGAGTTTTCGGGGACCTTGCTGTGCTTCAGAAAGCAAACCAGCCAAAACCCTGCTGGCCGAAAGCTCTCCCAGACCCACCTTCTGAAACCACAGATGGCTGAGAGGTTCCGAGTAGCAGAAGGTCAGCCACCCAGGTGACCTCCATGTCTAGCCCAACTAGTGATCATCGGCCATGTGGCATCCAGGGACCAGAGGACCTGAATTTGATCTCACATCCCAGAGGACATTCCAAGGTGTAGACAGCTTAAAGCTGATCTAATGTCAACATCTCACCTCAGGACTCATCTGAGCGCAGTCAGAGGCTCCCCCAAGGCCACACCTCAAGGTTTACCCATGATCAACGGGAACACAGATGAGGCCTCAGGCCTCTGCCACAGCTGACTGGTGCTATATTCTTTTAACATACCTGCTTGCTCCTCAGTGATGCTCTGAGTGACTTTGTTCCATCTCACTGTTTCCTTTGTCAGTTCCCAAGTGTTGGAATCATGGGTACTTAGCATCAATCCCAGAGGTTGTTTCTTTTCCCTCATATGACCTTTTTTTTTTTAATTGTAGGAGAATCCTTGTGCAGGTGTTAATACATGCTTCTTCTAGACCATTTCAGTCTGTCTTAGAAGTAAGCTATTTCCCCCCACGTGTATGTGGTGCGACTGTGTATACATGCTTTTTTTTTTTTTTACCATGTATGGGCACAGGTACATGTGCACATGTATGCCTGTGGAAGCCAGAGTCTGATGTTGAGAACCACCCTCCATTGTTCTTCAGCCATATTCATTGAGGGAGGGTCTCCTCTTTATTCACTGAGGGAGGGCCTCTCTTTGTTTATTGGGGAACAGTCTCTTGCTGAACCTGCAGCTTGCCAATTAGTCTAGTTATCCAGCTTGCTCTGGTCCCTGTCTCTGACTCTCCAGGACTGGGATTGCAGATAGCAGTCATACCTGATTGACTTATCGGGTTGTGAGGATTCAAACTCAAGCTTGCATGACAAATAGTTTATCGACTAAGCCACCTCCCCAGTCCAAGAATCTTAATATTCTTAAGTGATTTTAAAAAAATTAGAATTTCTTTATTTTCTGTGTATGAGTGTTTTTAAGGCATATATATGTATATATGTGTATATATATGCATATATGTGTGTGTGTGTGTGTGTGTGTGTGTATTCACCCTGTGTGCGCCTAGTGACTGCAGGAGTCAGAAGAGGGTGTCAGATACCCTGAAGCTGGAGTTACAAATGGTTGTGAACCTCCAAGTGGGTGTTAGGAACCAAAATGCAAGAGCCCCAAGTGCTCCTAACTATTGAACCATCTCTCCAGCCTCCTGAAACTATTAATTTTTTTAAAAGCAAGTTACAGAGAGTAGGAGATAAGTAAATCTACAGAATTAAGAATAAAATCCTTAAATGGTTACACCCAATCAAACAGGTAGAGTTGTTGGTAGTTTGGGAGATAGTCCAGTCAGCAAATGCTTGCCTTGCAACTATGGGGACCTGAATTTGATCCCCAGAATCAATGTACAAAAGCCAGATGCGGTACAGAATACTTGGCATTTAAGCACTAGGGAGGCAGAGACAGCCTTATCCCTGGGATATGCCATCCAGCCAGCTTCACCTATTTGGTGAATTCCAGGCTAGTGAGAAAGCCCATCTTATAAAATAAGGAGGTAGGTGACGACTGCAAACAACACCTCACTTTGTCCCTTGGCCTAAACACACATGTGCAAACGTGCAGGGGTTCGTATCAAGTTTGTGTGATTTGTGATTGATTGTAACTCCCAGTATTTGAACATATTTATAAATAACTTGTGTTTGTTTGTTTGTCTCAAAGTCCTGAGTGTCATGGTTTTGTTTTTCTGTTTCTCTACCTTGAAGTAAAATGCACAGGTCTCTTTGGGTCCCAGGAATGGTAGATAGTACATTTATATTGCCTGGAAGGGAAAACTCATTCATTTGTGAAAATAACGGGGAAGACCTCATTTGTGCTTTTGCCTCAATGACAATCCTGTCCCTTTGTGTCCTTCCAGATCACATGGCAAAGGAGCCAGTGGAAGACACAGATCCCAGCACTTTATCCTTTGGCATGGTAGGTGACGATTTTTATTTTGACTTCCCATGCCTTATTATGTCACACTGTAGTCACCAAGTATTTCCAGGAAATCTCAGAAACCCCAAAGTAAGATTTTCCAAAGATGTACCTCCTTCTCATGAGATTCTCTGTGGTTTCATCATCCCCAGGCTAAAAACAATGTTAGAGCCTGTGCTGTTGACTGGCTCAGTGGACAGAGTGCCTGTCCAGCATACAAAGTCCTGGGTTTGATCCCCAGTACTACACAGACTGATAAACTGGTGCACACTTGTAATCCTAGCACTCTATAGATGGAGGCAGGAGGATCAGGAGTTTAAATTCATCTTCAGCTATTATAGCAAGCTTGAAGCCAGCCTGGGCTACATGAGACCTTCTCTGAAACAGCAACAAAGTGGTGTTAGATCCTCTACTTGCTTCATGCATACCAAAAGTGACCTTCTTAGATGTTTCTAGGTCTTTGTGTGGTGTCAATTATTAATACTATCTATTTTTAGTAACTTTCAGCATTCAAAATATCTAACATGGAGTACTATCCCAGGATTCAAATCCAGGGCAGAATCCTACATCAGTGAATGTTACCCAGAACGCATATATGTTGACCAAACAACTGTCACAGAAATGGCGAGAAGAAATATGCACTGCCAGAATGCACAAAGACCAAAATCTGTGCATAAGGCTGCAGGAAGTTGAGATGAAGAATAGCACAGCCCAGAAGGGAGGAAGTGTGGTTTAGCGGTCAGAGCCAAGGAAGTTAAGAGGGGATTATTCTGTTTCATGTTCCGACATTAACCTGTTGACTCTGAATTCATTCCTATCAGCTCAGAAGAAAAACAGTGAGTCAGGCCTGCTGATAAGCCTGAGGCTAAAGACCTGGAAAGTTTAATTTTGCTTTATATTGCAACCCTGGGAATGGAACCTGGGGCCTTCTGCATGCTAGGCAAGCACTTTGCTGATGAGCCAGTTATCCCCAGCCTGCTTTCAACATTTTAAACTGAAATCCAACACAAAGCTCTCTTTTCACTTTGATCTCAGAACTGACATATAAAATAACTCTCTGCTTTTGTCCGTTTCTGCAGTCAGACAAGTATCCCATTCAAGACACCGGCCTCCCTAAAGGTAAGAACAGTTAATGTAAGGACTTCAACTCGTGACTAATAGAGTATCTGGAACAAAGCACTGTTCAAAGTACAGTTTTCCTTATTGAAGATGATAAAACAGAAATAGACCGATAACCTAGCTCGAGACTGGCTACACAATTGTCCTCAGAAATGAATTTTCTTATTAAAATGTGTCAATCATTTAATTCCAGATTATAATTTGTATTTCGCCAGGCATGAAATAAAGTCAGCCATGTTCTATGTTCAAGTAACAGAACTGACTCAAATTTGTTTAAGAAGGAGGGGAAGAGTTGGGTGCCGTGGATCATGCCTGTAATCCTAGCAGCATTTGGAAGGAGGAAATAGGAAAACTGCTATGAGGTTAAGGGCAGACTGGCCTACATAATAAGTTCTAGGCCAGCCTGAGCTATAAAGTGAGACTCTAAAGTTCTAGGCCAGCCTGGGTTATAAAGTGAGACTCTAAAGTTCTAGGCCAGCCTGGCTATAAAGTGAGACTCTGTTTCAAAACACCAAAGGAAAAATGATAGAGAAATAGAAAAGAAAAGAAGGGAGACTGGCTAGCTCAGGGTCTCAAGAGGCTTCTGGGTCACACATTTAAGGGTGTTCTTGGCTCCGCCCATTGATCCCGTAGCTCTGCTTTCTTTGGCTACCCTGTTCTTGGGTGAGACTTCCTGCTGAGGAAGAAAGAGGGTCTCAGCTGCTGTTCAAGATGGTGGTGATTAGGGGCCTCCTCAGAACCATGATGCAGGCAGTGTGGGTCACATGCCCATCCCTGAAGCAGTGTCATCATCAAGAAGATGGGGAATGTGGGTGAGCCCTGAGCTCTGGCTGCAGAAGGCCTGGAATAGAGTTCATTGAAACCCAGCAGTGTTTTGCCACCAGACAAACAGTAAGGGATTCTTGTGAAGCTCCAAAGTCACCCCCAAAGTTGTGTTTTATAACCTGTAGCCTCAGGTTCAAACAAAGATAGGACCAAAAATGATCCTAGCCTTTCATGGTCCTGTGGGGTTGTCTGCAAAGCCATCGTGCTGCTTGTTATATCACAACATTGACCTTGTACCCTGTGAACAACCCAGAGATGAGAGGACAGGCACAATCAGATCATCCCAGCTCTAGAGATGGCAGGGCACCTGGCTGCTGTCTGGTCTCTGTGCAGAGGTGGCTTGTGGAACCCCTGCCCAAGTTCTTAATTTGTCCCCTGGCAGTAGAAATGGAGAAGAGATTCCCACCAGGGCCATCAGTGGATAAGTCCAGGTTTCAGCCAAGGCACTGCTCTGGCCCCTCTCTGGCCCCAAGATCTCCTATTCCTTAAAGTGACATCATTAATGTGTCAGTCCTCTTCTATATACTGCGAATGTTCCTGGAGTGACTGTGGGATCCAGAGGCCAAAGCCTGGCTTGAGTGTAAACCATGGCTGTGCTTTTGGGATTTCCAGAGAGCTCCCTTTCCCTGCATTTTATCAACAGGTAAACTATCCTTTATCTAGAGCTCCTATTTTCTAGCTTATTTAATTAAACTTTAAACATACAAAGTGATGAGTTTCATCATGACATTGCCTTACCTATGTGTCATTATTCTAACTTCCCCTCCCTTACAGTCTCACTCCCTGCTCCCTCTGACTAATTCACTTTCTTCCCCCAGATATTCCCTCCCAATTTCATGTTACATGTATTCAACTAACCTTTTTTTCCTTTACACACACACACACCTATATGAACACTCATTCGTATAATCTCTTTCTGTCTGTCTCTGTCTCTGTCTCTGTCTCTCTCTCTCTCACACACACACACATACACACACATTTTAAAAAGAAAATTCAACAAAGATCCAGGTTCTAGACCACATTCTAATGAGCATGGGCACTAGACGGGAATGCAGGGAAGGCTGGCCCAAACCCCACAGAAATCAGTTTGGGTACTGTCAAAGGCTTCTAAGTAGACTGGCCAAGGGGGGACACTTGTATACATTGTCATAAAGGACTTTTCTTCTTTGCCCTTGAATGTGATTTTCTGTTTTGAAAGGAAAAAAATCGCTGCTTAGCAACCTGTTCCTGCACTAGAAATAGGGTCAGGTTCCTCCTAGAATCTGAGCTTTACACATCTTTTGTTCATGTCGTCATGCCTTTATGAGAGGCATGACCCTGAAGCCACACAGCAGACCTTCCCTTTGTCCTATGTCACAGGGAATAATATAAAGTGCATAATTTTTAAGTCTCCAAATAAATGCACCATTTTGTATGTAAATGAATCTTGGTTAGAAGTTTTGGGGGGGGTTTTTGGTTTTTTTTTTTTTTTTTTGGTTTTTACTAGACAGGGTTTCTCTGTATTGTTTTGGAGGCTATCGGTCCAGCCCGACCTCGAACTCACAGAGATCCTCCTGCCTCTGCCTCCTGAGTGCTGGGATTAAAGGCGTGCGCCACCACTGCCCAGCTTGGTTAGAAGTTTTAAAATTTGAATTCAATAATAAGGCAATTTAATGTCTGATAGTGTTTTCCTTTATCTTCCTCAATGAGGACAAATCCATCATGAGATGTCTCCGATAGTTTTCTCATGGAATTTGTTCTTTAGGAGAGGGGAGTAAAGAAGGACAAGCGGAGGAGGAATAACAACGAAGTATAATGATGCTTATGTATGAAAATATTCCACAGTGCAATCCGTTACTTTATATGCTGACTAAAGAGTTAATGAAGGGTTGGGGAGATGGTTCAGTCCACAAAGTGCCTGCTGCATAAGCATGAGGACCAGAGTTCAGATCCCAGCACTACATATAAGACAGGCGTGGGGGTTTGAGTCTGTAAGCCTAGTACTAGGGGAGTGGGTGAGGAGGATCCCCAGTGTTCAATGGTCAGCCAGCCTAGTTGAAACATTGATCTCTAGGTTCAGTGTCTCAAAATCAATAATGTGGGGAGAAGACACCACACATTGACATCGGGCCTCCGCAAATACATGAATAAGTACATAAATAAATAAATTTTTAGAAAGAGTTAATTTTAGGTATATAAAATAATTTATGAGACTAATTTGTGGACCTAAAAATAATCTAAACTGCAATCTAAGTATATTAAGTATCAGCTATAACTCCAGCATTTCAGTGAATTGGGGGGTGTCTGGTTTACTTAATAGAGTAGTCATGGGTAATTAGTTTCAACAATCTCCCTATGGTTGAAAAGGCCTCCAGACTCATTTTCTTAAATAGGTTAGGCAAGCTTCTTAGCATCTGCTCTTCTGTCACTAGAGTCCTACATTCTTCGTGCGCGGCTTAGAGCTGTTCTTTAATGCAGGCCAAGCTCGAGTGCTTTTGAATGATGTGGTTTTGCTGCAAGTCATGTGGAAATCTAGGATAATTTCCATGATCAGCATATGATTTATCACACTCATTTCTCGTCAGGGGCAAAGGCATAGCTTCCTCTGAGTCAGTCCCTGTCCCTGGGGGTTTCTGAGGGCATTCTGCAGGGCTCCTCCAGCAGCTGCCCTGTGACCCTGCAGATGCTTGACATCTGTGAAACGGGGAATGGATTAGTTACTTTTCTTGTTAATGAAACAAAAACCTCAACCCCCTCCAAAAAAAAAACCCCAGCTTAGGAAAGGACTTATTTCGCTTAAAGTTTCAGGATCCAATCCTTCACAGGGATACGTGGCAGCAGGTCACATGACATCTGCAGTCAGGAAGCAGAAAAATTCTGCCCCTGAGCCTGCCTCCCTTCTCCTTTTGTTTTTGTCCAAGACCCTAGCCCATGGGGTGGTACTAAGGGTTGTTCTCTCCTCAGACCTTTCTAGACAAATTCTCATAAACACACTTAGAGGTGTTTCCATGGTGACTGTAATTCAGTCAAGTTCACGATGAAGCTGTTCAGCTTCTTTACAGGAACTTACTACATTTTCATCACGAATCTCCTGACTTCTCCCAGAAACTGCTACGTTGAGCATCCTGAAGAGGATGTGTTTTCCTGTCACATTCGCAAATGTGTTTGGGAAAAACAGTTCTGGTTTTTGAGTGCATATTCACAGCAGGAGACAGCTGTACACAGACAAGCCCTCGTGTAAATCAAGGAAACTATTCATCTTTGGCTGACCAGGTGGTACAGGCCTGTTACTGGGAAGGCTGAGGCAGGAGGATGGAGAGTTCAGGGCCTGCCTGGCGTTACAGAATGAGGCTAACCTAGGCAACTTAGTAAGACCCAGTCACCAAACAGTAAAAAAGGAACCCAGAGACAAGCTTGGTGGTAGAACATCTGCTAAGTACGTATGAGGACCTTAGTTCAACCCCCCAGTCCTGAAAAATCAAACATGCAAAAACCTAATCATTTTTTCTTTGGAGTGCCTCTCTCCTACTGTTCAAAAAAAAAAGTCATAGTAACTTTAAGATGCAGGGGCTAGAGAGATGGCTCAGAATAATCACTGCTTTTCCAGAGGACCTGAGTTTGGCTCCCAGCACTCATAAATGGCCTGTAACTCCAGCTCCGATGCCCTCTTCTGGCCTACGCATACACACATGAATCAAGATGAAATAAGATATTTTAAAATAAAGTGATATAGATTTATTTTGTTTTTTATGAATCCGAACATTCATGCATGCCTGGGAAATGTACTGAAATACATCCATAGCCCAAGGAATTCGAACTTTGCTGTTATTTTAAGCTCTCAGGATATACACTTCATTTAATTTTTTATTGTGATGCTGGAGATCAAACCCAGAACCCTGTACATGCTAGGCAAACACTCTGCAGCTGAGCCACTTCCTCCCAGCCTCTGGAATGTTCATTTTACAACTTCAGCATCACCCACACATAGCCTGCTGTAAGGAACGCTCAAATTAAACAAACCCTTGATAGTCCTCCCTCCTGGACTAGTCATGGATCTCTTAGGGATCTGAACTTCATCCAGTTGAGTGCTCTTGTTTGTAACCTGGGTGGGGCCATCCAACTCCCCCACGGCAAGATTTGCTCTTTGGGTACGGGAAGCAACAATGCTGAGCAAAGTGTGGGTGCCCTGGCTGGGAGAGCAACAGTACCCAATGTCTGCTTCTTTTCTTCAGCACAGGGTCCTCAGTCGGCCCAGCCTGCTCACTTCAATGCCCTTAGAGGTCAAGGGAAACAGCAATGAAGGGGCAGGCAGGTCACTACCCTGAGGCACATCAACCTCCGTGCCACACCTCACCTGCTGCTGCTGTACATTCACAGATCATGTTCAGAACAGACACAAGCACAGGTGGCGGGCGGCTCATGTGGTTACCATGCACACGAAGCATCAGAGGATCCCCTTGCTCAGTGGAACCCAAACAGCAGTCGGCTAGGGTACTATGTTCTCACTGCTAGGACAAGTAGGTGTCCAGAGACTAACCTGCCACCCTCCTCTCCAGCCACTTACCAGTAGTTTTCATCCTGGAACAAGAGATGACTTCATTGAGTCGCACAGGCTAAGTTCAAGTCCACCCCAGGCAGCCGTCACCAGTGAAGTCAGTTAGCCAAGAACAGATTAATTCATTCTCACCAAACGTCCTTGGCCATGGCCTGGCCATTGTATTGATCAGGAAGTAGTTTTGACTGCCTTCTCTATATCCTGTTGATGAAGGTGGGATGCTACCCTAAGTGATGGGGCTGGCCAACACATGGTGCCTGGCCCTGGACAGATGAAATGGGGGTAAGCCACAGAGTCACATACCTCTGTAGCCTTGGGAACAGTGATACCTCACAGTATACGGAGCTACACCAGCTTGCACTTAGGAACCTGGGACAGTTAAGGGAGTACAGGCTGTGAGAGGCAAGTTCTGTGGCATCTACAGGGTGGGGTCTCTGGTTTCTCTGGAAAGGCTATTGCCTTCTTTGAATAATTCTGTTTGTTGGCAGTGAAAGGAACCCTGCTTCTCCAACATCAGCAAAATCATGCCTAATCCCTCCTTCCAGTAAGAACACTGTGTAGCTGCAGAGAAGAGTTGGGACCTAAGCTTGTACTCATTCAGATCTGTTCCAATTTTACCAGATGCCAAGGCAGCTCTTAATTCTGGATATTAATTTTAGGTCTAAGACTTGGGTGTGTGCTTTCTTTACCAAGCTGTATATTGTTCTTTTTGTCGTCCCATGTCTCCCCCCCGCAGCCAAAGAGTGTGATACAGTCACTTCCAACTCTCCACCGAATTCTGATGATCAACATCAGGTAAGAATAATATTAACTATTTGTTGAACTGCAAGTGCCCAGAATGTTTATAAGAATGATCTAACAGAGCTATAAAAATGAAAATGAGGATGTGTGTGGCAGTGCATTCCTGTAATCCCTCCATCTAGAGGGCAGAGATGCCAGGATCATGGCGTCAAGACCAGACTGTGCTGTGTGAGACCCTTCTCAAAAGACCAGATTTGATCTGGGGCGATGCTTGCTATGGAAGCGTGAGGACCTGAGTTCAGATTCCCAGCACCCATGTAAATACAGGTGGATGTGATGACCTACCAGTGATCCCAACCATAGAGAAGCAGGAACGTTGGGGGTGGGGCAGGAGTAAGCTGGCTAGATGGACTAGTGGAAGCTCTGAATGCAAGTGAGAGGTCTCTGATATATATACAGTGGAGGGTAACAGTAGGAGACATTGAATGTCAGGCTCTGACCTCCACACACATTCAATAAAGCTCCACAAGGGTGAGTGTCTAAGGGTGAACAGTAGATTACAGTAGTTCTCAGCCATTTCTGTGTCTTCTTTTTTTTATTCATGCCATCTAAGCTTTAAAATATTAAACCTTTTATCATAAAAAAAACAAACAAACAAAACAAAACAAAACAAAACAAAAAAAAAAACGGGCTGGGGAGATAACTCAGTCAGTAAAGTACTTGTCATGCAAGTATAAGGACCTGGGTTCAGATCCCAGCTCCCATGTAAAAAGTCAGGCACAGACGTGTGTACCCACAATCCCAGTTCTGGGAAGCAGAAGCATGTAGATCGGTAATCTCCAGGTTCAGTAAGAGACACTGTCTCAAAAAAATAAGGTGGGGAGTGCCTGGTTCACATCTGCTTGTTTTCTCAATGATCACTGGCGTCTTGTGTCTTACATTGGTTGCCTCAATGTTCTGGCACTTAGGAAAAAACAGTTCTAAGCACTCATGTGCAGGTTTGGGCATGCATGAGTGTCCAGGAGCATGCCTAATGGCTGGCAGGGTGAGAAAGTTCAGTTTTGCAAGAAGCTGACTGACACCACATTGTGACTTCCAGAGTGACAGCTCCATGCTGAGTTCTCACCAGAAGCCGATAAAGTCCAGCTGCATCACATTCTCCAGCATTTGGTGCTCTCTGTGTTTTGATTTTTTTTTTTTGGCTATTCTAAAAGGTTATATAGCGTTGTTTTAATTTGCATTTCTGTAATGGCAGGTGGTGTGGATGGAGTGTTGTTTAATATGCTGATTTTCTATCTGTATATTTTATTTATAAGGAGTGTTTAGGGATTTGGCTTATATTTTGAAGATGCATTTATGTATTTATTTTTATTTTAAGTGTGTGTTGTCTACATGTATGTAAGGGTACCACAAGCATGCCTGGTCCCTGCAGAGGCCAGAAGATAGTGTATGGTTCCCTGGAACTGGAGTTACAGTTCTGGACTGCTCCATGTGGTCCTCTGCAAGAGCAGCCAGTACTGTTAAGCATTGAGCCATTTATCTAGCCCAATCTTGCCTGTTTTTAAATTGGCTCTTTGTGTCCTTTTTGTTGGGTTTTAAGGGTTCTCTGCATATTTTATATAGCTCATTATTAAAAGTATCTTTTGCAAATAATTCTCCCCTGGTATGTGGTCATCCTCTCTCTTTGGGGGGGGTCAGAGCCTTTAGTGGAGCAGAAATCATGGTTTTTGGGGGGGGGCACTGGTTGTTTTGGTTTGGTTTTTTGAGACAGGGTTTCTCTGTGTAACTTTGGAGCCTGTCCTGGCTGGCCTCCAACTCGCAGAGATCCATCTGCCTCTGCCTCTCAAGAGCTGGGATCAAAGGGTTTGTGCCACCACTGCCCAGCTCAAACATTGTTTAATGAAGTCCACAGGGACCACTGAGTAGGAAATTTTGTGACAGTAGACAAGGTCAGGGAGACCACTGTGCCAACCTACATGTTGAGGTAGACTTTGTGATGTTATTTAAAAGCCTCTGGAACACAGAGCTTTCCTGGAGGGCATTTCCTGGAGGGCATGCCATTTGGATTAATATTTATTTTTTAGTTAATATAAAAATGGTAGGATTAGGAAGGCATTTGAAAACGCAATTTGTTTTTGTTGCTCCTCCTTCCTTCTCCCCAGCCCCTGTGCCTCCCCAACCCAGTCTTCCCTTTCTACTTTCCCATTTCCTGTTACTTTCCTCTCTTCCTTAAGTTAGGGGACAGCGACACCCATTTGCTCTTTACCTGAAAGCCTCCAAGACAATAATCTTGGCCTGGGGATGGGATTCCATTGGCAGAACATCTGCCTGCCATGTAGAAATCCCTGGGTACCATTCTCAGAACCACGTGAAAACCAGCATGGTGACACACACCTGTAATCCCAGCACTTGGGAGATGGAGGCAGGAGGACAGGAAGCTCAGGGTCATTCTCAGCTGCAAGTGAGTTTGGAGACAATGGGAACTACATTAGATCTTGTCTCCTTCAGGATGTGGGGCATATAGCCTATAATTCTCATAACATTTTAAACATCAAGTCTTTACCCCAGGCCAGAGGTAGTATTCAAATCCTGTTCTTCTGGCTAATAATCCATTAGCCAGACTGCAACTTTGTAACCTGGCGATATCTGGCTAGATTCCTAGCAATACCACACCATCTTGATAACTGTAGCTTCATAGTGTGTTTTAAAGCTAGGCAATTAGAGCCCACTACTTTCCTCCAATTGACCATTTTAGATTGGATGAAATCCACTTTCTGTATCAATTTTAGAATCGATTTGTCAATATTCAGGAATAGCTTGCTGGGACTTTGCCAGCAAGTTGATTCTGTTGGTCCACTTAGGGATAACTGATGCTCTGTATCAATTACTGTTCCCCAAATTTTCACAGATGACAGGCGCCATGCACTGAGGGGACCTCTTTAGGTGTGCCTTCTACACTCTGTGAGTGGTCTTTTTTCTTACTAATTCCTGGCTATACAGCCCAGTATATTTTTGCACATTCTACATAATGACCTGCTTTTGAAGGCCCTAAGGATTTATTAAACCTTTACCAGCCTTTCTACTAATAATAAAAATACAGTATAACAGAATAGAAAAAAGGACTATCCTGGAATTCATTCCGTTGATATCTACGTAGTAAATAATTTCTAATAAATGAGATTTTAATTTTGTTTAGATTGTACATTATTTAGACACATATACATATATAAGAAAGTGTCACCTGTTTTCCGTAGAGTTGACTAAAGAAGTTAACAATGCCCTGTGGTTGACCTGAGTCCTTAGAGATGGCCATCCTGCTTGTCTTGGCTGTTCCCACATTGCCCCCAGAGGAGAGGCCTGCCATTTCTCATTGGTAGCAGTTGGTGTACCAGACCACATAAACCTAGATAGATTGTGGGTTTTCCCTCCGGTTCTGAACTCACCTGATAATGTAGGGTGTATAGGTTTCCTTTCTTGTTGTGACTAAAACCCCAACAGAAACATCTTAAGAGAGGAAGAATTTATTTGGGGTCACATACATAGTGGACTTCCTTGTGGTGGGAGCTTATGGTGGCAGCTTCGCAAGTCATGGTAGATCAGAAAACAAAGAACTAGCAACAGAGGTGGGTGTACAAAGGCCTGACCTTAGTGACCTAAGTCCTCCAAGCTGGGCCCCACATCCCAGACAGTCCATGACATCCATCGCCAAACAGTGCCAGACCCTGGGGACCAAGTGTTGAAAAGGGTAAGCCTGATGGCAACATTTCAGACTGGGACCTTACTCAGGGGCTGCTCTTTTCTTTGCATTGCATTGTGAGGCACCGGGTAGAATTCTAACCAGCAGCCTCGTTGTCTTGGCAGAGCAATGGGCTCACCAGAAGATATGCAGATGCAAGCCACTAAGTGCATGGTAATAACAGGGCATGGCAGGGACCAGCAGGCTGCAGATGCTATCTGCCATTAGTCAGCCTGGCAGGCCCCTGCCTGCAATTCTGGACACGCAGCAATCCTTTCAAGATCCAACAAGATCTGTTTCATAGATTGGCGAGTCCTTGAACTTTTTTTTCTGAGAGAAGATCAGATAGCTCTGGCTTATTTGGCAATTTCTTACTTTACCCCTAGCGTGAAGTTTATAGGACAAGGAACCAGCACTACCTGGTAAGACTGCAGATTTCCTTAGAATACACACATGGTATTTTTAACCCTAATAAGAGACACAACTGCTGTAGCCTGACACTCCAAATAGACCGGCTTTCCTTAAGCCAGGCCAAAAAGGTCTCTTGACACACAGTTGTCTGGGCATCGTGGGAGAAAGAACACATTTCAAGGGGTTGGAAATCACCTGCTTGGTGCTATGCACGTGGTGTTGCCATCTCCCTGCCAAAAACTGAGATGACTGGCAAGGAGTTCATGTCAAATTGAAGATGCTACCTTTGAACAGACGCTTTGATGTTCAAATGCTTGAACTGGGATGGCAGTATGGCTCAGTAGGTAAGACACTTGCTGCCAAACCTGATGACTTGAGTTCAATCCCTGGGACCCACAACCACACGGTGGAAGGAGAGAACCCAGACATTGTCCTCTGACATCCACATTCATACTATGACATTTGTGTACACACACACACACACACACACACACACACACACACACACACCTTATTTAAAATTAAATAAACAAATAAAATACTCATACCTGGTATAATGACTCACACCTGAAATCCTAGCACTTGGGAGGTAAAGGCAGTCAGTTCATCATCCTCAGCTACATACTCAGTTCAAGGCTAACCTAAGCGAGTCCTTGTCTTTAAAAAACAAGAAAAGAAAAAACTAGAGGCTGGAGAGATGGCTCTTACAGGGGATCCTATGACCTCTTCTGGTTTCTGTGGGCATACACATGTGACATACATTCACAGACACACATGCACATATATGTCAATAAAATCAATAAAAATAAACCTTCGTTAAAAAATCCAGCAACTAAAAGTGGGTAACAGGCCAGGAGGTGGTGATACACACCTTTAATCCCAGTACTTGGGAGGCAGAGGCCAGGGG